ATTCTTTGACAGCGCAACTTGGTTCGCCAACTGCTAGCCCAGCCAATATGTCCTTCAACCCAAGACAGCACCAAAGGGCTGTTTCAGACACCGAGCCAATTACCTACACCCCAAAAACAGGAAAACCGAGCAGAGGGCTGAAAGGGAAAAGAGTCCATTTCTGTGAATTCCCGGGATGTGGAAAGGTATGGGATATACTTTGGGCTACACACATAATTCTTTACGTACCTGCTTGTTGACCTGAATACTCTTAGCGCTTCTCAAGAGCTGAACATGTGCGGTAAGCTTTGGTATCCTGTGCTCCTACTTTCATGCACCGCTACCAACACTCTCTAGACGACATGCGCCAAACCATAACCCGGGGGCTATTATTCGATGCAGTGTGGAAGGATGTGGCAAGACGTTCAAACGCAAAGACCTATGTTTGCGTCACATGGAAAAAAAACAGTATGTCTCGTTCATGTCACTCAGAGTCGTGGCCTAGCTGAATTTGAAATTCTAGCGGTGATAAAGTAGACGCATATTCAGAAAACGCCCGCATTGATGCTCACATTCGATCTAGCCCAGAAACAATCGCTTCAGAACCACAGGGTTTATTGCCCTCTATACCATTAAACCAACAACACACGTCTATGCCGACCGTTTCTCAAGAAGCGAATTTAATGTCAATCGGCTCCCTTGTGCAACCTGGTACAGAGCATCCTTTCGCGAATGATTATTCTATGCCAGTATGGTGTGAGCCGGAAAGGGACTTAGTCAGAGGAGATTTATTTTCTGATTCGCCCCAAGTCAATACTGATGACACCATGGTATATTCTTCACCGGATAGTTGTCAGTCCCCTGCTTCTGATGTAAATCCTTTTCGATTCCCGCAACGCACGCCCATTATGGACCAATCTTACTCGGAATCGTTCTACCATCCACAGACCCATGGATCGCCCTATAAAATGACCTCTACGGCTTCCGATTGGACACCTCCGCAGGAAAGGATCTCTTCCTTACAGATGCTGCCTATCTCCCTTGAAGGTGATGCCCTTCAGACAGTAGGTGAACCTTCCCTTCATTGGCGCTATTGGGGAACTAGGATTAACGTTCTGTTAGCCCTACCCGTACCAATACCCTTCACCCGAGTGGATGGGAATGAGTGGCATGCCTTGCAACACGAACTTGATTCCTCCCCCAGTGTCGCTTTCCGAAATGGCGGCATGGAGGTAATCGACACCACCCAGTGGCAGGATTGCCTGGAGTGTTATTGGAAGTGTTTTCACCCACTCTTCCCGATCGTCCATCGCCCAACTTTTAGCGCCGTAAAACCGTTTCCATTAATATCCGGCGCCATGGTGGCAATAGGATCACAGTACGATACACGACCAAATGCAAAAGAGTACTCTTTATTTCTTTTAGAAGCGTGCCTCAAGCTTCTCACGAAAGTAAGTTGCACTTGTTAAACTCTTTTGAAAAGGCATTCTAACATTAATGCAGAGAAGCCCAATAACAATACGATCTCGGATTTCTGACATCCAAGCTGTATTTCTACTCGAATATCTCTCAAAACACCGATCTAGGAAGGCCGATGTTACCATATCTCCCCGATTTAAATCTCTATACGGAACTGTGAGTGTTTCGACATATGCATTATATGTTGATCGATCGTTGGCTCATTTCCGGAAACAGTTTATTCAAAACCGCCACTGGACATCGAAAAACCCACTCGCTGTTTTCAATACACTTTCAGAGGACGACAAATTGGCGGGCCTGGAGAAAGCGTATAGCTTTTGGGTGGAAAACGAAACCAGACGACGCATATTACAAGCCTCTTTTCTCCTTGATGTTCAGCAATCGACCCTGTTCCAGCAGCCTTTGGTGTTCCTCCAAGCAAATCTCCGCACTCCCCGATCGAATGTAGGAAATGTAGAACCTATTGACTTACCATTCCCTTGCCAAACAGAATTATGGGAGATTGAAGGGATTGAAGAATGGGCTCAGCATGCTAGGGCATATGCTAAGTCACAAGAGAAATTAACCCTCTCCTCTGTTGCAAGGCGAATTATCCACCAAAACGACGACACATTGAAACTTGATCCGTTTCAATCGAACCTGATCCTGTCTTATGCTTTGCTAACCAACATGCGATCTATGGATCTGGAGCTAGCGCTAGAACCTTTCATCGAGAGGGTGAAACAGGAAAAAACGGAAAGAGAATCCATGCAAGGTCCTGGATATTCCATCTCTTCAACACATCCAAGTCATACACTTTTCACATATCATTTCCTCCTGGCAGCATACCGTGCTCCGCTCAAAGCCCTTCTAATAGTTAGTGGGGAATCCTGGTTGTTTAATCAGAAGCTCGCAGACAAAGAAGAATATCAGCAAGCCAAGAACACCTTGCGCATGTGGGTTTCTGGAACTGATGAACTGAAAAAGGCGGTTTGGCATGCGTTACGGGCGTTGCAATACGCCATCGATCATCTAGAATTGGGAGATGCTCCGGTGCTGATTAACGCCAATCCGAACCTGTCTCGCGTCTCGGATCTGTTCAGCGATGGCAACGGCTGTCTAACTCCACTAGACGCTTTTACGCAATTCAGAGGCAATATACACCCGACCGAAAACGCGGTTACCACCCCTGAGTATCTCGTTGAGGGATCTGCAACACTCCCTCACCTTAACCGATCGGGCGCTGTCACCGCATTGCACGCTAACTGGGCATTATATATTTGCGCCCTGATATGCTGGGCCTATGGTGCAAAAACTCCAACGACAACAACAACTGATGACCCTCTGTTTCGCCCTCCTGCTTGCCCAAGAACATATGTATCTACATTGATGTTGCTTGCTCCTTCATGGTCTCAGATTTCTCACAACTCCATTCCTGATCACATAAGGCGTGATACCAGTGAATTGCTTAAATACGTACGTGATAGGTGGCTCCAACCCGACAGCATGGGTGGGCTTCTGAACGAAGGAGCAAGAGTTCTACAACGCCTCAGCGAGAATCACCACCGATACGAAGACAAGGCCTGGGAATTTTGAATTCAGCAATACCGTCTGGGAAGACTCTCGTCTTGCAGTGGCTTCTGTTGTAATGACATTTTCATTTATGCTTTCGCTCGCCGGGACGGGCAAGATCTTTTGTTTCTTTCGTCCTTCTAGGAAGGCTTTCTGTTCTCTACACTCTTGGTTTTGCACGAATTTTTCATTTCTGAACCTTTCGCCTTTGTTATCCCATTCTATTCTTGTTGTTTTATTTCTCATCTTATTCATGTACGAAAAAGATATGGTCTCGTTTCGCAACAATCAATTGTCATGGATTTCTTATGAATATCTCCTGCAGAAGTCTTATATTGAAACATTTTCAATTTATTTATCGTTCATATGAGTCTTTTGGTATGAGATTTATTTTCCAACTTGGCATTTAGATTATTGAACTCATATATGGTTCTTTGTTTCACTTTGCACTCCTGCTGTGTAATTGGCGCAGCAGCGCAACAGCGCAATCCGGTTGACATAAAGACCCAGCTACTTCTCTGTATATTTTGTCCTCAAGTTATGACTGCGAAATTGCACTATACTGCTACAGAATACCTTTTCAGCGTTCTTTGTTCTCACATTTCATAATATATTATGTCAAGATACACCATGATCACTTTTATATATATATATATATATATATTTCAGAATAGATCATAGATTATATAGATTCGGATATATATTTGCAGTCTACGAACAGCCATGCACTCCGTTTGTTCTCTGGCTGCCTACGCTCTGGAAGCTCGTGTTGCTGATATCTGGAAATTTCATTTGTTTCCATGCCGCGATACCACTGGAAGGATATGGCGTTCGTCTCTGTCACACCTCCTGGGGATGAGCAGATACAAATGACCAATTTAGAATTAGGCTCTTTGGCCACTCAACCTTCTATTGAGAGTATTGCTAAACAGGAGTCGATAAAGCTACATTTCAGGCGAAAACTCAATAAATCAGAGTCAATAATACACAGAGCTTCAGCCAACTTGAGGAAACAAGGCTTAAGAAAAGGGGTCAGCATTTCACATCTACCCAATCACTCAACCGAAGCATCACCAAACGACCCAGTTCAGTTGAACCATCTCCATGCCCGCCGACATTCTCCAGATCCCGAAGAATGGTATCAATGTATTCGCCAGCTTCAGAGAGGTGTAGGATACGGGCAATGGCACTGTGAATTGCAAAGAACCGAGGCAGGGGTTCATCAATTGTACAGTCCGCTGAAGGATAGAGCGTGCGAGCAACAGGAAGATCGGGAAAAATCTCGGGAAGAAAGGGTTTCACTTGATATGTGTGCAACTGGGATGGGACAGGCTCGAAGAAAATCTCAAAGCCGCCAAATAAGGTGTGTAGAGCGGGGGAAAGACTGATTACATTGAAGGGTCGATCAATATCAAACCCTTCAATGAGCCGTACGACACCGTGGTCAAACATATCAAGAATATTGAGAGTGGCTCTTTTGGATTCACTCTAAATGTGTCAATTAGCAAAGCACCAAATGTAAAAATTCTCTCAAGAAATATATTTTACCAGTTGGGAATCTTGATCTGATTCCATCAAGGTGAAGGTGTGAGGAAGGATATGAGTTACTTGTAAACTGTCAAATGACTGTCGATGAAGAGGATTTCCTTCTTCATCTTGAGCATCAGTGCCATGTTTTTTTAAACCGTTTCAAGGCTTCTGTCAAGTCGAACTTATGTGATATAACACAACGATAATGGTCTCGGATCAGACAGGCTCCCCGAAGCGTGTTCAGTCGGTCTGGGGTCCTAACATATTTTTGTTCACCGTCTATTGTTCGCTCGCTGGACGGCTGAAAGTGGTGCCGAGGAGGGCTGAGAAGTATGTAGACCGGCTGCTTTTACTGTCATAGGGCTAGTTTCAAAGATTCGACAAATGAAGCAGGACACGATTTGAACAGGATAACAAACGAGGTGTGAAAAAGTTGTCCAGAAAAAAAAAAAAAAAGTCGGCAAATTCCATTCAGACGCTCGCGTAAATTGTCTGCCGCATCTTCACTTCATCACTGAAGTTAAAAATGAAGTTAAAAATCGCTTCCCCGTCGATTGAGAAACCCAACCAGTTAACGAAGGCTGATAGGACCATGTCCTGGGATAAGTCGGAGCGCGCATACTCATCGGTATAACGGAGAAGGAGAGGGCGGTTGTATTTGACGAGACTTCTCTCATTGCGGCGTGTTACGCGTGCGCTGATCCGTCGTGAAGTGCTGACAGGTTGAGAAATCAAGAATAGCTTCTGGTGAGGACTGGTGTCGGTAGGGGGCCATGTTGGAGCCAGGTTAAGTAACAAGCCATCGTCAAGAATTCACAGAAAGAGCTGGATGTTGATTCCTGGGGCAGCGCGACTTGATGTCGTCATAAATAGGCGATCTTTTTGGCGTCAAAAAGCAACACCTCGGCGCACGGCCCCGCCCAACTGCCACACAGCGACGCAAATTGAAATTCCATGAGAGAAAAAAGAAGAGAAAAAGAAAAGAAAAAAACTCTAAACTGTGGTTGTGGGGCCTGTGGGGTTTCATCTCTAAAATTAGCAAAAACATAAATTTAGAACTGGTGAAACGATCAAGCATCCTTCATTTACTACTTACTACAGCTAGTACTCCGTAGTACTTCCTGATTTTGGTGCTGCTTGAGATCAAGCAAGGTATGAGCTTGATTTGCCAATGGCCGTGGTGACGATTTCGCTGGAGGGTAGAGAGATATATGTCTACGTTGCTCTGTTATACCAACACCGCGCGCTGGAAAATCATTGCAGTTGAGCAGTCTCGGGATATATCTGGATATACAGACGTGCGTGTCTATGTGCTACATGTACACAGAGCAGTATCGCGTCATGTACATACTAGTAGTACTATTCCAACTCGGAAGGCGGGGTACACATCGGCGCAAGGCATCCACGCTCAACGGGGGGGGGGTGGAAAGAAGCGAAAAGACCGACGGTAGTCAGCCTGTGGCCAGATCGATAATGATACATTTTACCAGCCAAGAATACGCCGGCGCCTCCATAGAGATCCCCTGCCTAGAGATCAAGTTTTGACATATCAACGCACCGTTGAACGCTGCTCTGGATATCTTGCTGAAACGTCAGACCGTTTCAACACACCCGTTTCAAAGCCGCAGCCCATGAGGGCAACACCCTCCGAGGCCCATATCTATCTGGCCCCAGTGGAATCCCGGTGATGACGTCTGTTGCTTGGATCTGCTCACTCCCTAGAAAGGCTTGACTGTTCAATTAGTGTTTTCAATGTTTAGAAGCTTCCCTGATTTAGGGAGGTTTCCTAGCGGTTCTGCCCCTGTGCGACTCCCATTCCAGCTCAAGGAGCCAGAACGAGCTGGGCATCGGATCGACAGGCGTCTCCAGTGAAAAGCCCCAGTGGTCTGTGAGACCCAGAGTAGAAAAAAGGAGGCGGGGATGGGTCCAAAATAGAGGAGTTGAAGGGGGGGGGGGGGTGTTTTATCACATTAGGGTGCCAAACCCAAAAGGGCACAACTAACTATCTTAACTAGTCAACCAGATCTAGTAATTAACAGCTTCGTTAAACAAAATATATGATAGCTGGAGCAAATATTAAACCTCATTGATCGATATCCATCCATCCTTTAGCTTTTGAAAATTCTCAATCATGCCCCCTCTTCCTCCAGCGGGGAAAACAGAAAATAATACATGAAACCCCCCCAGAAAAAAATTCTTATGTATACACTTCAAACCAGACAAGGATAAGGATATAACTACTAGTAAATATAACAAGATAAAGAAAAAAATGCCCCTGGATTAGGCTATGGGCAATTATGGCTTGAGTCTATTTGAATTGATCTTCCGTCACACCTTTGCCCATGGCGCTTGTGCTACTAATACCACCGGTGACCATCTTCAGTAGCTCGTCGACATAGTTGGCACCACTCCATTTCTGGTGGGTAACAACGTCGACGCCAAGCTCCATCTCCGGCTCTTGGACAAGCTCGCCGTATGCGCGCATGCCGTTCTGGGCATACGCTCTGGCGAACTGGTCGGAGATCAGGGCGGTGGTATGGAGACCGGCAAGTGTAATGAATTGCCAGCAGTAACCAAGCTGTCCGAGGCGGTGGATGTAGGTTTCCTGCTCGTCGCGGGGCATAGCGGCCTTCCAGTTGAAAGAGGGTGAAAGGTTGTAGGCGAGTCTAAAAGACGGGAGTGTGAGCATGAGCAAAGGACAAGGAAAGGTGTGGCGAGTGTGGATCTGAGCTATGCAGGCGCAACTTACTTTTGCTCGGGCCAGACGGCGTGAACTCCGTCGGCAAACTCCTTGGCCTGGGCGTAGTCGGGAAGCTTACTCTCCATCCAAATCAGATCAGCAAAAGGCGCAAAGGCCACAGCACGGTTGACAGCGCACTGGGTGCCGCCACGGTACCGGTAGTAACCCTCCCGGGTTCTGGCCGAATCCCAGTTGAAGTAGATTTCTGAGCCAGTAAGCGCCTTGGCGATAGCGCGAGCCTCCGCATTGCTCTTGCCCCGTGCATCACGCAAGAATTTGTCGATTAGGGCCTGCTTGTTGGAGGCAGAGCCGGCTTTTATGTGGTCGATCACGGCCTCCGAGAAAAGCTTGAGGCCAGCCTCGGCGTTCCATTTGTCCTCAATTTCCTGAAGCTGGGCCCCGGACTTGCCGGCTTGTTCGGCAGCGATCATCAGGTCGTTGAGTGGCTTGATATTCGGATTTGTGGAACCGACAACGAAGGCGTGATCCCGGGGGTCGATAGTGGAGGTTGATGAGGGGTTGCAGCTTCTGAATCCGTTCTAGCAACAGCCAGGAGAA